GAGGGGTGAGCACATTAAAAAAAGTTTGAAGTTTGTAAGTTTTTAAAAAACAGGTAAATAGTAAGGGATGAGAACAGAAGAAAATACAAGAAAAAACGTGTGAAGAGTAGGGGGGGGGGAGAACATAAAAAATGGAGATAGGAGTTGAAATTTTTTACGATTCTTTATAGAATATCAGGTAGCCTTCTCTCTGCCCCCCCCCACCCAGCATAGCTGACAGATGCCACAGGAGGACGTGTGTCATGGACATGTCAAGGTCACGCATGTGACGTCACCTCACGCCGACTGTTGCCCTTATAACCACAGGCGCTTGTAGTAAAACGTTCTCCCTATATACGTATGTATGTATATATATATACATACATAATTATATATGCATACATACATATATATATATATATATATAATATACATACTGGGATCATTATTTTCTACAACAAGCCTCTGTACTTATAACGTTGCCAAACTAGAGCTGCGCGGCTTCCAGTTTCTCACTCCAGAGGGCGCCGGCGGGCGCGAGGCGGCGTCGTCGACACGCAGACGACGATTACATGCAACGAGCGAGCGAGCGAAGAAAAAACAAACAACGAAGCAAAGCAAGGCGGCAGCGGCAGGGAGGAGGAGCGTCGTTGTCATGGCAACGTCGTCGCCCCTCATCGCAGCATCAGCAGGGGGCGTGGAGGAGGAGGGGGGAAGCAGATGAGCTTGTCATGAGATCCGAAATCAAGAGAAGAAATCACGTAAATATCACGTAACTGAGAGATAACGACCGAGATCGGGTTGCGTTGCCAGAGAAACCTCCCGACTGCTCTACGAGATCTATAATCCACGAGAAAACAATAACCGTCACGAATAAACGTCCCGGGTCCTCTCCTGACGCGAGGCGTAGTGCATAAAGTTCGCGACATTTTAGGCTGATGACGTCATGACTATTATCGACGTTTCTGACAATGGGGTACATTAAGTGACGTCACTCGCGCGCTGCACGTGTTAACGTACTCTCGACACGGTGCGTGCGGGTTCGCGCGAAATGAAGAAGAATCGTCGGATATCAAAAATATGAAGTGCTGAAAGCAAACGTGGCACGCGTGGGCGTGTAGGCACGAACAGCAGTAGCAGCAGCAGCTGTAGAGGCAGTAGCAGTAGCAGTAGCAGTAGCAGTAGCAGTAGCAGTAGTAGTAGCAGTAGTAGTAGCAGTAGCAGTAGCAATAGCAGTAGCAGTAGTAGTAGCAGTAGCAGTAGCAGCAGCAGCAGCAGCAGTAGTAACAGCAGCAGCAACAGCAGCCGTAGCAGCAGCAGCAGTGGCAACAGCAGCAGCAGCAGCAGCAGCAGCAGCAGCAGCAGCAACAACAACAGCAGCAGTAGCAGCAGCAGCAGCAGCAGCAGAAAGAGGAAAATGAAAGCAAGTTGTCTCAGCAGTATTTCCCACTCAGTAACACCACTACCACTACCACTACCACTACCACTACCACTACCACTACCACTACCACTACCACTACCACTACCACTACCACTACTACTACCACCACTAATACCACCACTTCGCGCCTTGCAAACTTACTGCATCAGTAAGGTTCGCAATTGTTATTAAATCTAACCCGCGCCTCTAATGCTATCAGCATCAACAGCAATCTAAAATATTCTAGAAATACACCTGCTGCTCCCCCCCCCCCACCATGCCTAGGTGAAGATATTTTCAAGCAGACATGTTGCCGCACCAACTGAAGCGAAAGCACGTTACTAGAACCGCCACAGGCAAGTGCGCAGAAAGCAGTGAAGCAGCTAGCATCCGTTTAGCATATGTTTAGCATTGGGTGGGGTGGGGTGGGGAATGTGGGGGGAGGGAGTCGTGACAAGCCTCGAAGGCATTCGCTTCCGCGAGCGAAACTTGTTGCAAACGAACTTGTTCGACTCTTCTCGGAAAACGACTCAAACGACAAACGAAATGGAAACAAAAGTTTCGCGCGATTTTCGTCGTCTCCGGCAGGGGGCGGGAGAGTCCTGTCGCCACGGCGACGCCTTGAAGAAAGCCGCGCATTGGCTAGAAAAAAAACACGGTGTTTTATCGTGTAAATGCTTGTCGTTTGCACGTTCGCCCAATTCGACGTGGATCTTTTGAGCATGCTGTCACTCATGGCATGCATGTAGGAAGATTGCATACATAATATAAGTATGTATCAAAGGTATGTAAAGTTGTGATGACAGTGAGGAAATACTCACACTTGCCTGCATGACAAGTGTGCGGCCCAACAGCAACGCACTCTTGCACCAGTTATGACAAGTTTTCTAGTGTCATCTTTCCGCGAAACTGGGCCGCATGCGACAACAAATCGGGTGGGAGGGATGGTCGTACGATTTATCAAACAATGGGGGTGAGGGAGGGATGAATATTGATCAGAGTGGGGGAGCGATGAATATTGATCAAACAACAGGATGGGCTGGAGGGGGCAGCGCATCAATAAACAATGGGGTAGGAGGGGTTGTTACTAGCCGCGTTCACACGTAGCAAGAAATCCGGTATTTAGCGTTCACACGAGGCAAAATACGAGGCCCAAGAAATACGGTATCTAAACAGATCCGGTATTTCATGTAAATACGCGGCTTTCCAGACCCCGAATAATTTGCCGTGCGTTGAGAAATACCGGATTTCTTGGAACGCTAAATACCGGATTTCTGAAGCTGCGTATTTTATAGACTGGTCCGCGCTCGACAGTTCCAGTGTAACGCGAGTGGAACTGTCGAGCGCGTTAGAGCAACAGAGCAGTAGAGTCCAGTGCAGTAGAGCAACAGAGCAGTAGAGTCCAGTGCAGTAGAGCAACAGAGCAGTAGAGTCCAGTCCAGTAGCGCAACAGAGCAGTAGAGTCCAGTGCAGTAGAGCAACAGAGCAGTAGAGTCCAGAGCAGTAGAGCAACAGAGCAGTAGAGTCCAGTGCATTAGAGCAACAGAGCAGTAGAGTCCAGTGCAGTAGAGCAACAGAGCAGTAGAGTCCAGTGCATTAGAGCAACAGAGCAACAGAGCAGTAAAGTTAAGGCTGTCCAGCGCAGTAGAGCAGTAGATCAGCATAGTAGAGTACAGTGCAGTATAGCAGTATAGTAGAGTAGAGTACAGTTCAATAGAGCAGTAGAGTAGAGTAGAATGCAGGAGTTGTTGTTGTAGAAGTTGTTGCTGTGTAGACCTTGACTCTGACCTTGACCGTGACATTGTCCTTGACCGTGGCCTCGACCAATTTTCCAATTTCTAACATTTTCCGTGGCCTTGAGTTCAAGGCCATGGCCTTGAGCTAAGGGCCATTACATTTTCCAATTTTAAGATTTTCGATGGCCTTGAGCTGAAGGCCATGGCCTTGAACTCAAGGCCATTGCATTTTCCAATTTTAAAATTTCTACATGACTAGGCCAAGGCCACAGCCTTGAGCTCAATGCCATATCCTTGAGCCATTTTCAAAATGTTTACATCACTCAGTCGATTGAAGTCATGGTCATGGTCAAGTTGTGTTTATCAACGACATCTCGAAAATATCTTACCGTAGTTGACAAGATTTGAACCCGGGATTATTGAGTACCAGCCCAGCACGCTATGCTATCACCCAATCACACAATTCCTTATATTTTCAGAACGAAACTATGTGTTAAATTTTACTCAACAAGAATTTGAAAATATTTTAAGAAGTTACCTCACAAGAATTGAACACGGGACAACCCGGTCCTATTCCAACATGATACGCACATGCCTAAACTTACAATTTCTGAGTTGTTCAGATCTGATGTGTGTGTTACGTTTTCGTTTAACAGCAAGAAAAGTCAACAAATACGTCATTGCCGAGCATAGATTTTAACGTGGAAATTTCCATTTATAAACGAGATAGAAATACTTATACAGCATTTTCGTGCAAACCATTTATGATTGATAGAACCGCGCTATATTTATTATTGTTCATACTATTTATACTAACAATAATGATAATTCATAATACAGTCGTTCAATGCTAATTAATCAAAGCAATACATGGGCTGATGCTTACCTTCAAACATGGATTTACACAGTAAAATATACGGTATACTCGCCTCTGGTTTGCTTGTCCGCAGAAACGGATAGATATGGCCAAATAAATTTTTAAGAAAACACAAAATTACTTGCCTAAGGGGGCTTTTTATCCTTCCCACAGGCATATAACCACGCATTGTATTTAGTTCACTCCCTCTGTAACAACTAACACAATTACTAACGACAAAAAAACAAACCATTAACAAATATCGGCGGTGTGATGTTCCTGTATTTACCTGCCATTGTCAAAATAGTGTTAACACAACAATAAATAGATCACCACGTGCTTCTGGCATATTTAGATTGCCATGCCCCCTCTGCCGCGGCAACGCCCGCGTCCGCGTCGCCGACCTCCGCCGCGAAGGTCACGCCCCTGGCGACGGCGCCCTCTGGCGACGGGGGCGGCACGGAGGGCCGGATGGACGCAAGCATGACGGACGATTCTGCAAGTCGGAGAAAAACGAATAAGGAACGATTACGATACATTCATGACGATACGATCGTGGTACGATACGATACGATACGATACGTTAATCGACTTTTTAAATTAACGTCTTTTCATAATAATAACAATAACGATTGTAACACACGATGGTTCGTCCCATGCGGAGAACATTCTTAATATGATTAATTATGATTTTTTTACTTTCATGTTTTATATGTCATTGCTGATTGTTTTTAATCGATCGCAATTATTAGGAGGATTATCATACTTATCATAATCGACTTCTGTGTAAATTCATCTATTATATTATATCCATTGTCTATTATATCTATTATCTATAATATTAATATCACATCTATATCTGATTCATTGCCGCAGAGAGAGAGGAGAGAGAGAAAGATCTGTGAAAAGGAAGTCTCGTCCTCCTCCTCTCATCTCACATGCTTCAACGCGCGCGCGAAAAGACACAATTAAGAAAGACACAATTCCTCGTCGACTAACCTCTACTATTTTTCTCTACTTTCTGTATTACCTTTAACGACTCATCTACTATTTACTTTACCATATTACTAATTGTACAATTATACTGTCACTTATCACTCATCTAGCAGTCGGCGCGACACGCGATCGCCGACAAACTCAAACGCAAAAAAATATCAGCTTCCTCGAAAAAAATCCGTGAGCGTACATCTACTCCCGCTGCACAGCCACGCGACCGCGCCGGCGACAGAAAAATTGCAACCAAAAAGACGACGACGAGCCGAAAACATGCACGGAAGTAAAAAACAAGAGCAGAAGTTACGGTAGCCACGGTAACGGTAACGAGCGGTGGCAGAGAAAGATGAAAAAGTAGACTTAGAGAGAAGATACACGCCCCAGAGAAGCATGACAACATCAACGTTTGTAACCGAACCTACATGCGTTACTATGCGTAACCACAGACGCTGCTATAGAGGTCTGCGTGTAGTATAGGTGGGTGGGGGGGGAGACCATGCATAAACCCACCTGGTAGAACATGTGACACTGTGTGAACGAAGGGACAAGGATATGCCTTATTATCTCTACGTAATATAATCGTATTTTCACTGAGAGCGTGGTGTGACTTTGGTACTGGTGGTGGTGGTGGTGGTGGTGGTGGTGGTGGTGTGTGTGTGTGTGCACAAACATCATTGTCAGTGGCAACTGATCCGTCATCTGCCTTTCATTGTCGAATTTCATATTAATTCCATGGACATAAATTTTTTTTCCAGTGCCAATTCAGAGGACACGGAGAATCGACACGTTTTCAAGGCAACGTCGAGCAGCGAGTGATTCACCGGTCTCCAGTTATACGCATACCACGAAGTGCGTAGAGCTTATACGTACACATCTGATGCGACCAGAGTTTGGAGATATTATTCATACTGATTTCATCACGTAAAGTAAAACGTCTCCTCATATAGCGTAATTGCAAAAGCGTATTTTCACCACAAGTTGTATTCCCTTTAGAGAGATGCCATTCGTAAAGAGCTATGATAAACGCGTCGTTAACTAGTTTTATTCTCTGTACAAACATTTTACTTCCATGATATATCTTTAATTTCTATTATTTAAATATTATTAGAGAATATATTGGTTAAATTAAAGCATGAACACGTGATTAAAAGCTTTGAGTAAAACCACCAATGTATATCAATTGTAAATGGAACTTTAAACTAAAAATAGTGGTTGTAAAACACTTGGCCTTATAGTAAAATAAGTCATTCAGCCTTTTAGAAACGAATGTCGTTACAAATTTTATATGTAAATAATACATTGGATCTAGTTAATATTCCACTCACTCACTGATAAGTCATGTTTCTGAACATGTGCTCTCACACGTCCCCGTGATTTGCCGCGTATGATTTGTACGCCTGCGGGCCACTGTCAGAACCTTTGCAAAAGAATTTAGTTCAGATGTTCATAACGGTATAGATATAGATATAGGTATAGATATGTATAATTATAAACTCACGTTTTTATATTTATTATTACATATATTATAATTACGTACATTTATTACGTATATTATAGTCTACCCGCGTGCGTATTATTAGCACATGCTTTCACGATTGAAATACTTTCTAATAAATATACTCGTACTAAAATTTTCGAGGTACTTTTTATATGATGGCGATTGTGTAGAAGATGTGAACAATAATTTGTAAAGACAGCTCTACATATTTCAGCTGTAGGATAATACAGTGCAGTGAATCACTGGTTGCAGTGATGGGAATCTCCGCATGTAGAGTAGAATAAACTAGAGCAACAGAGCAGTAGAGTCCAGTGCAGTAGAGCAACAGAGCAGTAGAGTCCGGCGCAGTAGAGTAACAGAGCAGTA